TCTGAAAATGTCCTTATTCTTTCTTCATAGAGGAGGGAGAGCTTTGCAGGGTAAAGTATTCTTGGTTGGCATTTGATGCTTTGGAGTTTGTTGAGTATGTCCCTCCACTCTCTTCCATCCGCGTGTCAAGCACCCACTGGCCACCACCTATTACCTGTAATTCGTCCACTAGATTCTCTCAGGTTTCATGAACCCATCCATTTAGGGTCCATATCCATCGCTGCCCAGCACCATTTAACCTGTGACCACCACGCAGGTGCACCCACCGCTGGCCACACCCCAGACCACGCCCTTAGGCCCCACCCATGGTCACACTCAGACCCCCGCCTCTGTGGCGTCCAAGTCGCTCCCACCAGGCACAGCCCAGCTGGAGGCCACCCCCAGTCACCCTGCCCGGTGTGCGGGGGTCATCACGGTGCCACAGCGTACCACCATCACGCACATGAACATGGCCAGTGCTCTCTTCCATCCCTGCGCCTGGCCGTCACTCAGCCGCTTCCGAGCGCCATTCCCTGCCCACTAGGAGCCGACTGAACTGTGGCTTGTTTTTGTTTTATTAAAGATTTATTTATGTGTGCACACAAAAGCTGGGGTTCAGGCCAGAGGTGCAGGTGTGAGAGGACTCCCCAGAGACAGAGTGGGGAGTGGAAGCCCACTGCTGAGGGGTCAGCGGGGGACAGGAGGGGCCTGCTGCGCCCAGGGGTCCCTCCCTGGTGGGAATCGCACTCAGGCCGCAGGGCCTGGGACAGCGTTATGGCGCTGAGACTGAGCCCTGCGTGCCAGGGAGGCCCCGCACACTGATTTGTTAATATTAATATTCAGCCACTGCCTGTCAGCGCTAAGGCGCTCTGGGATCAAGAAGAGCAGGGTTGCCCCGAGGGTGATAGTTGGTGAATTCATGGCCCAGAGGCGAGGAGGGCAGGCAGAGGCCAGCGTGAGGGTGTGTGGCGTCCAGTCTCAGCCCTCTCTGGCCAGGGTGGCCGAGGCTCTATGGTTTCCCCGAGGAGGCAGAGGACAGCGGCATGGCGGGGCCCTGACGGCTAAGCTGGGCCTGTGGCTGTGGGGGAGATCTGGCAATGAGGGCACAGAGGTGAAGGTGGACATCAGGAGATTGGCAGAGACCACACCTGGCTGGGCCAGCCTGGCTGAGGGGACCCCTGTGCTCCCCATCCCAGACCGCCTGAGCCCGAGCAGAGCCAGCGAGGTCTCTGCAGCAAGGTCTCGTCTGTGCCGGCCTGCTCCCCATGGCACCCCCACCCCCTAAGAGGCCACCCCACCTCTTTCCACTTGGACGGGAACTGCTCTCCCAACTGGCCATGGAGGGTGCTGGCTGTCGCCTCAGGTGCTGGGTGTCATCCCGGTGTTAGCTGGCAAGGTGTCTGGGCTCCTGAGGGCCTTCCCGACAGGCCCTCTGAGTGTTCGGCCATAAAGCTCTGGGGGACAGCAGGCTGAGGACAGGAAGTAGCCTCCAGACAGGCCTGGAGTCAGCCGTGGGCCCGTCTCTGCCTCCAGCCTGATGGAGTTTCTCCCTTTTCTTCCTGCCCACACCTCTGTCCTGTCTCCAAATGGGAGCTGCAGGCCTGGAGACGGGAGCCAGGGGCCTGGCCCTCTCTGGGCCGGCGGCCCTGCCAGTGCAGGGGTGGGCTGCACAAGACGAGGAGGAAAGACCAGCCTTCGGGTGCCCAGTGAGGCCTGAGCTGCCCCTCCCCCCACTCTCCCCAGGCTCCCAGGTTTGAATGGGGGTGCAGGTCACTGCCAGCGGTGAAGCTGGGGTGGAGGGACTGGCTCAGGCCTGAACGTTAGCTCCGGGCGCCCTCCTGTGGCCATCCCACTGAGGTGGCCCTGGTGGAGCAAGTGCCCACAGGACATCAGGCTGTAGGGTGGGAACATTAAGTATTTCAAGCGCCCACAGCACCAGCTCCCTACCTGTCGGCGAGTGCTGGCCTCCGTTGAGAGGCGGGCGCAGTCCCCTCTGCCCTGTGGGGCTGCGGCCAGGGGACCCAGTTGACCCAGGGAGGAGGGCAGCAGGACGCCTCCCCCCCACTGATGTCTGGCAGGCAGCGGGAAAGGCCCCCAGGCAAGGCTTTTCAGATGTCTTGCTCCTTCACCAAATCCTCAGCTGACTGCAGTTTCCAGATGGTTCTCTAGGTCCCTGACCACATTGCAAAGGTATTGAAAGGCAGAGGCAGCCCTGGGAGGGGGTTCAGCGGTGCATGGCGCCCCTAGACCGGCAGAGCATCTGGAAGCCCCTTCTGCGCCACCCCTCCATCTCCTTCTACTGAGATGGGGCAACAGGTTGCCCCGGGCCGCTCTCGGGGCTGCACATTTCTGCCTGTGAGGCTAACGTGGACCTGAGGGAGAACCTGGCGGGCCCCAGCCCCCTGCGACCAACCGGAGAGGAGGCCAGGCCGGGCGGGCTCCAGGCTGGGGGTCCAGCGCCCCCTCCCGGCCTGGGCCGCAAGCGCCGCTCACCTTCCCGCGAAGTCTCCTTGCGGAGAGCACAGAGGGGGCGCAGCCCGGAGCCCCTGGACTCCCTCGGAGCGCCCCCAGAGTCAATACGAGCAAAAGACAGATTGCCGATGGGGTCTTCCACCCGCCGGCCGACGGTGGGGGCACGTGAACGCAGAAGCCGGCGCCTCCCAACCCCGCTCCGCGCCTTGGGACCTGGGCCGCGGGGAGTCTCTACCTGAGCTTTCCGAGACCGTGCCCCCTTCTTCCCTCGGGGCTGAGCGGGATTCCCAGTTACACACTCAGAGAAGGGGGGCAGGGGGTGCGCCTTTCCTACCTGGCACAAGAGAAACCAGGACTGCGAGCGGGTCAGCCGAGTCCAGACTCAGCCGACTGCGCGGGCGCCCTGCGCGGGGCGGCTCACCCGCGGAAGGGGCTGCTCCCCATTCCGCAGGCCGCACCCTGCGCCCCGCACTGAGCGCTCCCGGAGCTGCGACAGGGGGTGGGGGCTCGGGTTCGGCCGCGGAATCTGGGAGACCGGCGGGGCTTGGTGTCCCGCTGGCGCAAGAGGCGGCGAGGCCGGTGGACGGTGGGCCCTGCGATGCGGTACCTGGGCGCGCGCGGGCTGCTCCCGGGATGCCGGCTGGCCCCACTCGGGAGCACGGCAGCTGCCCAAGGCCTCGCGGAGCTCGCCGCGGCCCCTGGGGCAGGGGAGGGGCAGCGTCGCAGAGTGCTGCGGTTGCAGCCTGACTCCGCCCAACCTTTCTGGCACGGGCACCGTGAGCCTGAGACACTAGGCAAGGTCGTGGAGCCTCTGGCTGCCTGGAGAGCAAAGGTTTGCTCTGGAGCCTGGCCTCGGACAGGAGAGTGCCCCAGCCAGCGGAGTGGGCAGCGCCCCCACCTCTCCAAGCTGCAGCTCTTGCTGGCAGAGGCGTCCAGGCCCGCCCCCTGGACCATTGTTAGGTGAGTGATTGTCATAAAGCACCTTTGTGTTGCAAACGTGCCATTGGGGCACCCCTCTTTGCTCCCCACCAGGTCAGAGTGGGGGAGGGGCCAGGGCAGCCTGCGGTGAAAGGGCTGGTGCAGGCGGCAGGTGGTGCTGCCAGGTCCCCACCTCCGAAGCACCTGGGACAGGGAGCCCGCTGATCAGAGAGCTCTGGGCCCTGGGAGCGGCCAAGCTAGATCCCTGCCAGTGCCAGTTGTGATGACCTTGAGGAGGTGGGTTATGAGTACCTGCCCCCCATAACCTGAATCGTCCAGCCCGGCAGGTGCAGACCAGGGGACCACGCCAGGTTCTGCAGCCTGCTGATGGGCCCAAGCCCCCCCCCCCCCAGGCCAGGAAAGCAGCAGACCAGCCACAGCTGTGTCCAGACCAGCTGTCCACCTGAAGGCCATCGCACTCTGGGCTCCCTCACTGTATTCTCACCAGACGGGGTGAGGATGCCCACCACAACCCAGAGTGGTCCCTGCGGGGTAACCTTTTGAAGCCACAGGGGTGCTTCCAGCAGGAACCTGTCTCGGCCCCCAGCCCCAGGACTTCCGGGTCAGTGGGTCTGGGGTGCACTTCTAACAAGTTCTGGGGTAGGCTAGCAGTGGGCACCACACTTTGAAAACCACAGGTGGGGCCCTCCCTGGTGGTGCAGCGGGTTAAAGCACTGCACTAAGAAGCTTAAGCCACTTGCGCATGGGTTCGATCCCCGCCTGCCCCGGAGGTGACCACATGGCGTGGCAGACCTCTCCTGACCCGCCCGCTGCTCCCCTCAGCAGTGTGCTTCATCGATCTGCCTGTTCTGCTCCCACTCTGTCCCTGGTGAATCCTCTCACCTTCCACATTTCTGGCCTGTACCCCAGTTCTGTATGAATAAATAAATAAATCTTTAAAAAAAAATGAAAACCACAGGTGGAAGGGGTGGCCAGAGAGACAGGAGAGTCCCCAGGGAGACCTGTGAGCCTTCCAGCCCCTGAGCCCATGTATGACCAGGCCTCTGCTCCTCCTGCCCAGCTGTGTGCCCCCGGGGCCTCTTGCCCACTCTCAGGTCAGCTCTACCTCCGCAGAGTGGGGAGGGGCCGGTGGGCAGAGTGAGGCTGAGAGGGAAGAGCTTGGCCCCCAGGCCTTGGCTCAGCACCGGGCCTGTGCTGGTCTGCCTTCCTCCCAGCGGCCCCACTCTCCAGGGGGCCGGGCTGGCCTGCGAGGCGCCCTCGCTGTGCCCAGCAGTACTTCACTTCCCTTCTCTGTCAGCTGTTCTAGAAAGGGGGTGTTTCCTGCCCCTCCCTCACGGGGCCTCCGCGGGGCACTTGAGAGCAGGTGGGGAGGCTGTGACTTGTGGGTCCTCCCAGGCATTAGGATGCCTCCTCCTTGGCTTCCTGGTCCAGCCTCCACACTGCAGCCCTTCTCTCAGTAGAGGCTCTGGGAGTCCAGAGGTTTAGGAGGCCGCCTTTGTCCCCTCCCGGCAGTGGGGAGCCACGGAGGACCTCGGAGTCAGAGGGATGGTTAGGACCAGACTCGGAGGCCAGGTGAGGTTGCCCAGGCAGAAAGTGCCGCTCGGGGGTGAGGTTGCCCAGGCAGGGCTGCCCTTGCGCTCCAGTTTCTCACCTTCCATCACCACAGCTGTCAGCAGGGGCGTGACGCGGAGGAAGCTGTGCTGCGCCCAGTGACGTGCCCGTGTGACCTTGGGCTGTGCCCGTAGGGAGCTGCGCATACCAAGTCATCGGGCTGCTCCAGCCTCTTTGCTCCACCAGCTGCAGGGCAGCCGGGTGCCCGCGCGGGGCTCATGCTGAATGCAGGGAGCATTCCTACGGCAAGGGGGTGTTTCCTGCCGCGACCACGTGTGGATATTAGGAGGGCGGGGCTGGCCAGTGCCAAGGGAGCAAGAGGCCGCGCGCCAGGCTGGGCGGGAGCTGTGGCGCCTCCCTGGCCGCGGCCGGCGCCCGCTGCCTCTCTTTGGGCACAAAGACCAGGGCTGGAGCTTTCATCAGCCCTGGCGGGGCTGGCTGGCGCCCTGGCCCTCACACCCTCTGCTGCAGCGCTCGCGGGAAGGCGGGGCTCAGCCTTCCTGGAGGGCCTGGGCCCCAAGTCCGTAGTGGGGAGCCTGGCGAGCACTGGCAGGGCCCGCAGGCAGGGAGCTGTGAGGACCTGAGACAAGCCCCGGGCTCCCTGCCCGCCTGCGCTGGTGCCTGCTGCCCAGAGGGCCTCCCCTGGCTGCTTCATCTTGCCACCGCTGGAGTGAAAAGGTCACGGCCAGAGGGTCCACCCAAGCATGGATCCCTGTCCACCCCCCACCACGACCTTGAAGCCCCTGCAGGCAGTGAAATCCTCTTTTTGCCCTCGGCCTGCTGCCCTGTGGCCTGCCCTGGGCTGGAGTGGCCGGTGGGCACGCATCCTGCACGCTGCTGCACTCTGGGCACAGAGTGGCCAGACAGTGGCGGGCAGGTGGGCGGCTCACAGTCTCGTCTCAGCGGTGACGTGGGATCCCGTGTCACCTGCTTGTCAGCGGAGGGGTGCTGCAGGCCCCGCTGCCCGCTGCCAGTAGCCAGGGACTCCGGTGTGACTGCGCCAGGGCACCTCCCCGCCACGGAGCAGGAGCCGAGGTCGTGTAGAGAGGGCCCCGATTCCGGGCGAGCAGGTGCCGGGACCGTGGGCAGGGTGGGGGCAGCCCCAGGACCGCGGGGTATGCCAGGACGGAGGGCAGAGAGCTGGGCCAGTGGGCCCAAGGACAGCGGCCCAGGGAGGACCCGGGAGATCCCTCAGCCACCCAGCCCCTCCACAGATGCAGCCGACATGAGGCACCGCCCCACGGGCAGTGGCTGCCTGGCATGCGGGGTGCGGGCCAGCCCACGTCCCCTCCCTCCACTGGCTTTTCAGCAGCACTTTACTTTCAGCTTTGCTCAGAGGAGCTGGACTTGTCATTCCTCTGTGTCCGGAGCCCCTGAGGGTCCTGCATTCACACGCCCCCTTTGCTGTTCCCAGTACATAAACCAGAAACCGTGAGGCCCCGGGGCCAGCGCCCCAGTGAGAGCCAGTGCAAATCCCTGTGGTCACCCTGGTCACTGGCAGCGATGGCTGTCAGCTGGGCAGCCCCTCTCCTGCCGGCAGGTGGGGCGAGGGCCAGCTTCAGCTCTAACTCATCAGATGTGCTTCATGATGGAGTTTTCCCTTCTTGGACAGGCGCCCAAGGTCACAGGAAGGAAAGGAAAACTTCCTCCAGCCGACCCCTCCCACTTCCACTGCTGTTTCCTGCACGTGGGCTGTGGGGGCAGGGCACGGCCGCGGAGGAGCTGGGTGCCACCCGGAGGACAGCGTTTAGCCCTCAGTCTGTGGGTGCCCTGTGAGCACCGTCACTGGTCTCCTGCTGACCTTTCCGACATTCTCTGCAGGCAGCTGCTTGTGAGAAAAGGGGTTCAGGGAGCTTTGTGCCACCTTCCCTTTGCCATATAAGGAACCCCTCAATACCAGGCCATGGTGCGTGCATTGCCATGGCGACGGGTAAATAAAGCCTCCTCCCAGTCACAAATGGTGATGTGCCTGGAGAGGCCAGTCCCCACCCAAGTGACCCAAGGGCACACCCGCCTTTCCCTCTAAGAAAGGATCCACGGTTTTGAACCAGGACCAGATATCTGCCTGGTCCCCCCCGGGAGTTGCGCCATTTGGAGCACAGTGTGCGCCCCTGCTGTTGACAAGGCAGGTCCCCGGCCCCAGTGGGGGCCACGTCGGCCTCATGAGAGAAGTCTGGGTAGCTGGAGCCCCGAGGAACCGCCACCCCGCCTTCCCGGTCACTTGAATGTGCTGTTGCGCAAGGAGGAAAGACGCTAAGGCCCCCCTCGGCCCTGACCCACGGGGCCTGTGCATGACACTGCCCGCCCGCCCTGCGCCAGCTCCCCTTGCCTGGGCCCCAGGTTCCCTAGAAAAGTGACATTCTCTCTGAGTCTGACCGGCCGGCTGGCCTGGCAGCCAGACCCGCCCGTGAGTCAGCGCAGAAGTGCTGGCGTCTGGGCGTTTCCCTCCCTTCACTCTCCGCGAGGTCACAACTGCGGCTAACGCGAGCCGGTGCACCTCGGAATCCAAGTCACCTACTCGTAAAGTTGGTTCTTCCAGGTTTGCTTGGTCCAGGTTCATTTTAACATGGAATTTCATGTACACATCAAACTTTATGATTCAGTAGCCACATCATGTCTAATTTGTGATGGGCAGCTTGGGTTGTGGTCTCTTGGACCCATGGCCAGGCATTAATTCTCTCCTGAGATCCATGAGCAAGCCAGGGCAGCTTTTGAATAGGGGAAGAGTTGTCAGCAGAAAGAATATGCCTTTCCTTTTTAAGATTCATTTATTTATGCATGCAGAACTGGGGTACCGGCCAGAGTTGTGGGGGCAGTGAGAGGATTCCCTAGAGACAGAGTGGGGAGTATGAAAGGCAGATCTACTGAAATATACTTCTGCGGGGAGCAGCGGGCGGGTCAGGAGAGGTCTGCTGTGCCCTGTGGGTCACTCCCTAGCTGGGAGCTGCAGTGGCCGAGGATAGCCGAGGATAGTGGCCTCACAGTGCTTTAACCCATTGTGCCACTAGGGAGAGCCCCAGGATGCCTTTCTTCAGATCCCAGAGGCAAGGTTCCTGACTGAAGACCACATTCACTCACTGGTGCTGGGGGAACTTCCTGCTGGGACCTGCTCCTAACCCTAACCCTAACCCTAACCCTGTGTTTCACTCACATTCAAAACCGCAGGGTCTACTGGGTCATAAAGTGCAACTCACAGACGCTTGCTGGACCTGCCAGAGTTCTCTGGGCTCCGGTTCCACTCAAACTGGCCGTCTCAAAGGGCACCCAGAAAGTGAACAAGAACTCACGCCATTCAATTCACGGCTGTCATCTAGAAAATCCGAAGAGGCCAACTATAGTCACTGCCTTCACAGTGAGCCACTGTGTGTCTGAAATGTATTATCTTTTGGAAGATACTTTTGATG